CCCAACACCTGGAGTCCTGCCTTGCTTCCCCAGTCCGTGCCCCGCACAAGACATGACAGTCACAGCGTGTTTGTCCCTGGGAACAGAAGAAGCAAGGCCTGGCAACCAACACAGGGAATTTAAACACAAAATGATGCATTCAGGGCAATCTTAAGGCATCAAATTAGATATTTTTGAATTGTGGAAGGAAATTGAACATGCAAAAATCCACATGAGCAGAAGGCGATTCCACAACTCACATAGTGTGACATGCATGTTCTTGTTTTTTGGTTAACGCCTTAAAGATAAGAAAAGATCAGATGGGAATGGTGGTAGGTGATGATGGACCTGGAAGATTCATTTGATAAAATGGCAGGTCAGAACCCTGGGGTTGAAAGGAAATGCTGTGATACAGAAGCCTACTCTCTTTTGACGAATTAGCCCAGCTAAGATGCGGTTACTAGAGAAAATGCGGTTAATTTTTTTTCCAGGTTTAGATGGATCGCTGTGTACAGGGTACTTCTGTCACTACCATGGAATGAAGAGGCAACTGACTTGCATACAGCATGCAGAGTGAAAACAAAAGACAGTGACAATAGGACTAGCAGACCTCACATGGTGGAAAGTCCTATGTGTGTTCTGCTCCTCCCCCAACCCCAAGGGCTGTCAGAGGGAAGCCAGCTGAGCTTGCATGTTCTGCCCATTCTGTCTTCTTTTTATTTCTTATCCTTGGTGTAAGAATGCCTCCCCTTAGTTGCCAAGAGTGTGCCCCAAGAGTGATTTTGTCGTGAATGGGTGACAGGGCTAGACAGAACTGTGCAGCTCTTTATCTGTAGAGTGAACTATATTCATTTCATATTGTGTTCCCTATCAGGGTTACATTGAATAGACGCATTAGTGTGTTAAATATATGCCACAAAAGTATTGTAACGCCATTAGCTGCCTATCTTATAGTGCACTAATGGAATTGCTGAGTTTAAAAAGGTCACGTTTGAAAAGATCACGTTTATGTTTGCAAGCACGCATGTGTGTGTGTGTGTGTGTGTGGTGGCCCATTCTGAATAAAGAGGCTGTCACAGTCCAGGCTTGCAGGATAAGCCTGCTTCATTGTTTTGCCCAAATACAGCCTTTCCTTCTATTAAAATGTGTTGGTTCGGCTTCTTTGCCCTGCATACCAAATTGTGGTCGTGAATTGGATTCCAGCATGTAGCAATAAATAGTACAGATGCTTCACTTTATTGGGCAGTTTAAATAAACAACATGATCTGATTCTCAGCAAAGACACCCTATTAGATCAGTGGATTGAGGTGACTAATATGAGTGGAAATTTCACATAAAACACTAAATGTTTTCTTTTTATGATTTATTGTTTATGTATAGATTATTCACCTTCAGTTCTTTAAGTCTTCCTTATAAAACATCACACATGAAAGTTTATAATAATGATATCATCATATGTATCTCTTATTCTGCTTAATAATGAGGGACAGTTTTGAGAACGACACTTTTAAACATCACCCAAGTCATGTCCATAAAAACACATACAGGTACAGTACCATTCATGTGCGTGACTTTCCCTTGAATACTCTGGTTTCATCCCACAGCCCAAAGACATGCAGATCGGGCTAATAGTTCTGCCTAATTTGTCCATAGAGTGTGCATGTATATGCAATGGACTGGCGTCCTATTCAGGGTGTAGACCTGCCTTCTTCCCTGTGCTGCCTGGGTTAGGCTCTGGGTCCTGCATGACCCAGAGCCTAACCTGAGACTAAAACTGAGCCCCATCATAACATTTCATAACAAAGCTTTCAAAATAAGATCATCTCTTGGGGGTGGTATGGTGGTGCAGTTGTTAGCACTGTTGCCTCACATCTCTGGCACTGCGGTTCTCTGCCAAGGCTCCATGTGTGGGGAGTTTGCAGGTTCTCCCCATAGCATGATGAGGTTTCCTCCACATACACTCCAGTTTCTCCCCACAGTCCAAAAAATGCTGAGGTTAATTGGAGTCACCAAATTACCATAAGTGTGAATTTGCATGTGCCCTGTAATAGGTCCTGTATGGGCCCCGGCTTACTGCAACAGCTATCTAAGTTTGAATTGTCTCAGAAAACTACACTATACTATATTCTATATATATATGCCTATATATATATATATATGTGTGTGTGTGTGTGTGTGTGTGTGTGTGTGTGTGTGTGTGTGTTCTAATTATACTGCTATACTAATTATATCTTAACACACTAAGATGAAGATCTTTATTTTCAGGTCATTTTAATAAATAACTGAATTTTGACAACTCACATTTGTTGCTACAATATAAATAAACGAAAACAAAGCATGCATTAACTAAACACAATGCTGCAAAGCAATGAAGTGAGCATGTTTTTAATCTGGCAATACTACTTTCATTCTAAACCTTAAGATCTACAGCAGACATGAATTTGCGTAACATCAAGACTACTAGCATGACATTATTATTTATTGTAGATGGAATATTTAATCTGTAAAAGTTCATCACCCGTTGAATTCACCTCTACCGTACTTTGCGTCATCTATAAGTTTTCTGAGAGTGCTTTAAAACTGTCGACATTATGGGCTGTACTGAAATTGCTTGATTGCTCGGAGCCAAGGAAAATAGCTGGGCTTGTAGCCAATTCATGGTTTTTATGTGACACGACTGAGGCAGAAAATAGTCAACACTCACACAAGTCAGTATGTTCAGGAGGAAGGCAGATATCACCAGTCTATAAACATTAATGGCTAGGTGGGCTGGGAGATGATTAGTGCTGTCAAAAGTGCAATGGAATATGCTGCTTTGAAATAAGAAAATACTTTATACAACTGAATATGCTTTTAGACAGACTTTTTTTTGGATTTTATACTTAAGCAAATGTCAGTTATGTGCTCATTCAGTTATGTTACATTTAGCTACATGCAAACTTGCATTCACATTGAACAATGCAACATTGATTCTTGTAGGTTGGCACTTTCTGTTCATCACCTTGTATTCAGGGAACTGAATGAAAGAGTTAGCAGTTACAACTGCCTAGTGCGGTTACTAGTAAAGTTGAAGTAGTGCATAACACACCCTGAGGTCTAGCTATGAGAGTGAGAGTTACTGTAAAGCATTTCCCTGTGGCATGCGAGGAGGGTCGCAGACCTAATTACCTAATTATCTCCATGGGAACCATTACTGTTTATGCACTGATGTTTGATCAGCAACCACAAAGATAATGTTAGTTGATAAAATATCAAACATGACACAGTTGCACCTTATTGTGGTGTTTTGTGTGTCAAGGAAATTTTAATTATAAAGATGTTTATTTAATTATTAACTAAATAACCAGATATGCATATTTTTTGTAATGGCCTTGTTTTTCTGTGTAGTTAAAAAGATGTTTCCAGTATGGTGTGATGGTGTTGACCCCAGTCTCTGCACACCCTCTCTGCACGGAGTCCTGTTTAGTTGTGAGTTGGCGATAAGGAAGCCAAGAGGTCTGGAATGATTTGTCTGCTGCTGTTGGGCCTGTGGATGTGAAATAATGGTGCAGCAGCTCAGTGGAAGAAGAGAGAATGACATTCTGTCCATATCATAACAAAGACTGATTTTGATTACTGGGGATCAAAACTCAAGATATGTTGACCTATTACTAGGTAAACTTCTAAAATCTGTAAAAACCTAATGCTACATCTGGAAGATATACCAAGAAAGAAAATGAATATGAAACATGTTTTCCCAACAAGCATTGATAAAATTTGGTATAACAACCATGATTTGACTCTCCCTGCCGGCCCCTGGAGGATGGGCTCCCCCTTTGAGTCTTGTTCCTCCCAAGGTTTCTTCCTTCTAGGGAGTTTTTCCTTGTCACTGTCGCCTATGGCTTATTCACTGGGGGCTTTGGGTGGGGATGCTGTAAAGCGCTTTGGGACAATGTAATGTTGTGATAATGCGCTATACAAAAATAAATTTGTTGTTGTTGATTTTTTAAAATGGGTAACCTACCTCATATGGCTATAACCAGAATAAGAGGTTTGATGAATGGATATGTAGAATTTTTATTTTTATAGCTCTGCATATTTCATATTATCATAATAACAATTATGTAATGTAGGATATTTACTAAAATATCTAAAATATATACTAAAAGCTGACCTATTTAAGAAAATGGTTCGTCAAATAATTTTGAGGACAACAAGTGGTGAAACTGAGAAAACTAAGCAATCCTTACGAACTAAAACTTTCCTAGAATTTAATCAGAGGATCCTAAAATGAAGGAAGAGGTTCCCGAACCATTTGCCCACGGCACGGCAAACATTTTTTTTTATTCCACTACCCTGGCGTTCCTGACAATTTTCGCGCTGCCTCAGTGGAGCCCCTGTAGGAAGAACGCGCGGTGCATATTGCGTGTGAGAAAATGCATGCGGATGTATTACCTATAAAGACCGTAATCACTGGGATGCTGAAGTTAATGAGAGTATGAGACTGCCACTGCTCAGTTCATGGTCAAACTATGACAACATAGGATCATAATCAAACTATTTGTATCTATGATGATATTTTCGACAGGTCACTTGCAGTCATTGCATGCATCTGTCTTTACCTTCCTTCTGTAATAATATACCGAAACTACTGTTATTTTGGCATACAATCAATTAATACATGCACCTGTTATACAAATACGCAGGTATATTGAGTCTAATAATACACGAATCCCAGTTGTTAAATGCTAACACAAGATTTTAAAAAGATTTTAAAACGCAATGGTTTCGCGAAATAGTTTTTTTCTTCCATGTCGACTCTCCTGCCTTTTAAATAATTTATTAGGTATTTGTTAATCTAGTTGTATACTTGGATAATGTTGTTCTGCATTTAATATTACTATTTTTCAGCTGCTGTTCCGATGTTTCCATGTAGATATGTGCAGTGCACTTCTTGTTCAGAAGGGCTGCTTTCGTTCTTCCCAGCCTGTGCTTCCCATAGCGATCCGCTGCTGAGCGCTCTGGTTGGATGATACATGAGTGGTCATTAGGTGCGTCAAGCCGAGCGCTTCCCTTCAGAGCCGCGTAAGCCTGGGCATTGGCTCTGCCGCTGCACTGCAACGGAAAAGGGGCTCGGCAAAGTTGATCTTGGTCCTGTCTGAGAAAGTAAAACACGGCACTTCTCGCCGCTTTCGATCCTGACGTGACGGACATAGTTCAAAAGGCATTAAAAGGCTGATCAAAAAAAATCTACTTTAAACCAAGCGGGATGGAAGGAGCATCGCTGATATACATTTTGTTATAACTATCCGCGAACAATTGGACGACGAGATTCAATTTCACTAATAGCCTATATGATGTGCGGAGAAAGACACATAAGAGAATAAAATTCCTCCGGTTTGCCATTTGCTGTTGCCGAAACCGCTGGTGATATGTGGTTGTGCCTGGAAGAATGGCACCGAGTTTATTTAATAATTTTTCAGCTTTCTATGTGGAATATTCATAGATCTCCTAAAGAAAACGGCGCCTCTACACTACCTCTTAGTAATAATAATACTGACTAATTTCTTGCAGAAATAATCTTTAGCTAATATGCGCTACGTTACGCTGATCCTTCCTATCCAACTTGAATGCGAGGTGTAGGAGTAACGGGGAAAGGAAGACACATGCCGCATCCGTCTCCAGCGGCATCCACCTGCCATCCGTCCGTCTATCCCATCTCGCAAAGTTGGTGACTATCAAGATCTTTGTCCAGGGTCGTCAGTATAAAGGAGGTAGTTGGATGCCCAAAGAAAACTAGGCATTCAAAGTAAAACTACTTTACTTGTGAGCGCTGCCTTTTTTTCTTTTCTTTCTTTTTCGTTTCTTTTCTTTTTTGTGCCATTTGGAAACATGCGCTAGTGTCTGCGTTTGAAGGATGTCGCTGCTCATAGTCTGCTTTGAGTAACAGTATTCGGAGAGATCTGGGATTGAATACTTTCATTTGGCACCTCTGAGAAGTTTTTTTTTTTTTCCTCCAAAATCGTGGATTATTTAGAGGTAGTGCAAACACCATAACAACAACCGAAGACATGCGTGGATATTTTGATTTTAAAACCAGTGGAATCGTACCAGGGGCTAACGACCTGTGAGGAAATTATAACACATTTATAAAGAGGAACAAATATTTAAAAGGAGGTTTCATTATATTACATTTCCCTGACTCGGAGTTTTGTTGGATTTATCATGATGTTCATGAGTATTTTAGGCTACTTGTTTCTATTTGGTAAGTAAATTTTGCTTTCCTGTTGATATTCCAACCTTTTTGTATTAATCATTATAATATGTAGAATGGGGGGAAATAAATGAAGTATAATGGCAATCAGTAGGCTAAACGTTTGACAAGAAAAATCGGCGAGTATGTTACGATATGACACGTATAGCTAAACGTATTTGCGTTTGCATGATACACACACGTTATACAAAAATACTTAGTCTGCTAAATGCCAGTCTAGAAAGCTACGTTCTTAATTGTGATTACTGTCTATTTTACTACACAGTTTTTATTACATTGTGATTTAACTGTAGTATTTAAAAACAAAGCAGAGTATAACAGCATATATATACATATATTTTAAAGGACATTCGTCAAACTTATAGAAATTACATATTCTTTAAAGAAGCTAATTTCTTAACTAGGAACCATATGCAATACCTGTAAAGGTAGACGCAGCAACTGAACTGCTGGCTGTAAAATATTCCTCCTTAAAGGCGAGAACTGCAACAGAAGAGGCTCAGCAGGATCAAGGTCACGCAGATTTCAGAAAAGTGAACCTGCGTTTATACTCAAATATGTGAAGAGTATGTAGAGCAACATGGTGTGGAATGAAATCCATTTCAAACAAGCTGAAATTATGAAGTCGATAGATTTACTTTACTAGTTTTTACTATATCGGAAGGGTTAGTGAAGGTAAGCCGGTGAGTTTACCACGATGAGTACTGCATACTCTCCGTGCACTTATTCACAAAAAGACTAATACCTGTACCTATGGCCATCCAGTTAAGCTCTCGGCTTCAAACACAATATATAGAATCATTTGTATCGGGTGTATGTTTTAAATACCTACTTATTTAAAATGGAATGTCGCGGTACAATAAACCGTGAAGATTTACCAAGTCCACGGATAAAGACGATATGAATCAGAATTTATTTGTAGTTTTTTTTCGTTGGCAGAAGATAAATTCTTCTATTCACTTTAGTATTTGTCTGATTTTTCACCTCCAGTGGACGGTTAGGAGCCTCTAGGTGTCGCTCATGTCCAGCAATTTGACTGTTGAATACGTATGCGTCTGCCTTGTAACATTGTCATACAGACGACATTTTTGTTATTTTGTTATCAGTAGTATGAAAAGTGACTTTTCATTATGTTAAAGGTTTTTGTCAACTTACATGAATATTACTATAATATAAACCATCATCTGACATATTTGCTTCTCTTATAATATTGCCTACTTTGAGGATAAAAATAAATTATTCCTAGTAAGAGCTATTTTCTTCAAAAATGTCTTTCACACAAATGTATGCATATTGTGTATATATAATCTCTATTTCCCTGAGATATATTTGAATTTCACAACAAATCATGAACAATTTGCCAGTGAATTTATTTGTGTTCTTCGAAAATCAAACTTTGCATTCCATTCCATTAATAGCGGCAGAGTAGTTCATAGTTGAGAATTTATCAGCAACCATGAGAAAAGCTGTACATTTGAACGGCTTTGTCATTGTTGAGTAGATCATGCATTTGGTGTCTGCAGCCTCCCTGCTTCTCTTGTTGGACACCTTCAAACCTGCTCTCCTTTTCATGAACCTCACCGGCAAACGCTTGTGGCACACATCTTACTCTAATGCTGTTTCCATGAGAAATGTGACTTTTAGGTCGGGCTCATTGCCTAAGAAAACACGAAGCTCAGAACAGTCTTGCTTAAACGTGTGATTCCTGTTGTAAAATGACGTAAAAGTCATGCAAACAAATCACTGAAAAAAATAGCAGAGTGTCATGATGCTTATATTTGCTTGTTGTTTTGGAAGCATAATAAATAAATGAAATAGCTAAAGCTACTCGGCAAATGCTGCTTTCTGTCTGCATGAAGTGGTGTTTGCAAATTTTTCCTTAATTTCTACAGGGAAGGCAAATATGATAATTGTGTTGAATGACTGGGGAGGAAATGGGACTATAAAGATGTAGTACAATAAAGAACTAAATGATAATTTTTACGCTTAGTGCTAACAGAAGCAATGTTACACTGACTTGGTGACCCACTTGCTTCATGACTGTAGCATTTTGCCTGCTGACTTCATTTACATTTTCCATTCTGCTTCTCAGAAAATGTTTTTGTCATGACTTGAAATTTTTCTTCCCTAACATGCTATTTATTAGCTCGTCATATCACATGTGTCATTTTGTGTATGGCTACCTCTGTATGGAGGAATCTGTGGCCTCTGGAGTTTTCCTTAGACTGACCAGACAGACAGACTCATATCTTTGTGGGGACCGTTCATTCATTTCTATGTAATCTCAGCAATGGCAGCCTTAACCCCCTCCAAGCCCTAACGAACCAGTCTTTTGGAATTTTTAGTGTTTTATTGCACTCGCAGATTTCTATAAACCTGAAACTCCCCTTGTGAGGGCCGAAAAAATAGTCCCCCCCCCAATGTAATGTATATCTCATCCCACACAATTTTGCAGACATCACTTCAAAATTCAGAGTATAATGTTTATGATGTTGCCTGCCTGACTGACCTACCTTCCTTTCCCCAGATAAAACGATTAGTTCCTCGGCCAGCTCCTCAGCCTTGTCCGCGTCAGGAACCCATGGCTGGAGAACCCCTGTGGACTGTGTGAAGGCCAGTGACATGTGCAACCAGAGCCCTCAATGCAGCTGGCGATACCGCATCATGCGCCAGTGCTTGGTGGGCAGGGACCGCAACACCATGTTGGCCAGCAAGGATTGCCAAGATGCCCTTGAAGTACTGCAGGAGAGCCCCCTGTATGACTGCCGATGCAAGCGTGGCATGAAGAAAGAGCTGCAGTGTCTGCAGAACTACTGGAGCATCCATATGGGCCTGACTGAAGGTAAGACCTGGGAGAGGACCTTACAGTGTAGGCGCAGTGGTGAGGGGGTTAAGCTAAGGGGTGATATGACACCTCTACCTGGACTTGAATCAAGGTTTAACAAGGATTACAAGATGTGATGGCACAGTATCTATGGCACAGTATCTGCTTCTGTGGGCACATAGATTCTGGTTTGGAAAGATTATCGCTGTAGTTTAAGTATGAAAGGAACTATAAATAACTGAAATGTACCACATACACACGTGCGTGCACACACACACACACACACACACAGATATATCTATAAAAGTAATTGACTTCCCATTAAGTCAGACATTTTAAAAAAACCCCATGATATATGGACATGCCAGCTATATCAGTTGTCCATCACATCGTGCTAATGCTTCTGAGAGAGCTGTAATCATTTCTCTTCGATAGTGTTAGGCACAGATTATGAGTGTCAGACAACATCACAATGCGGTTTGATTTATAACCATGAGTCCCTGAAGTCACTTGAAGGAATGACAAAAGGCCCTATTGATAGAGCAGCGAACTCGTAGGAAGCTTTTAAGGCTCCTTTTTTAAGGTACTTTCAATGAAATGTTGAGTTGAGCTGTAGTCAGACCTGAATTTGCAGCAGTGGTTTTTAATTCATTCCCCAGGCATTACAGTAAAAATTCTTCTTCGTACTGCTGTTACAGTATGTGCTGATTTGAGAAACTACACATATGTACTCCTGACCTGCATTGATGCTGCTGATGTAGCTGTAACTCCTTTGGTCAGAGGACCCAATTACTTGTCCTACTTTGTACTCTGTGCAGTAGTGCCCTTATTAAAATATGTTCCATGTTTTTTGGTTCTGTATTTTTTTAAATATGCTACTACCATTTCTTGCAGTACATTTGCAGTTGTGCCTACAGTGAGACAATCTCAGGTATGCAAATAGAAATGATTATTAGGATTTTTTTTCCCAGTCAATAATAAATATCACAAAAATTTGACCATTTGTAGGATTTAGAGTTGCACTGTAAATAAGATGCTCAGCATTTAAACTCTCAATCTGTTTCAGGGCCGACTAGCCAGTGCATGTCAATTGAAGGTGATAAAATACGTGCCAGGAGCTTTGCTTGAGAAAACGTCATATGTCGTAACTGCTTTCCACAGTTAATACTACAGCACATTGAAATAAAACAGAACAGCAAAACCGGTTAACTAGAGCAATACAATATCTTAAGGCCTTATCCTTCTGAAAGAGGATCAAGCCCCATACTGTCCACCTGAAATAGTGGATGTGATATAGCACTTTTCATTGTTGTATGATGGCTCTCGTAAAACTCCTAAACCCTAATTGACCACATAGCCAAAAATCTGTATACACACATCTTTCTGTGGTATTTAACATACTGAAGTAAAAAAGCTTTTTTTATATCGACTAAAGAAATGAATATTTGCAAGGTGCTAAAGTTTCATCGACGCGAGCACAATTTGGGCCAGTCCAGAGTGCAGTGAACGTTTCCTGGGGGCCGTTCACATTTGCAGCTGTCTCCTTGCAATGTTCTTTTCTATAGTAATGTCACAGAAGGTGTTCCCCGTAGAACCTCTTAAAATCATTTGAAAAGTCACTCTGCAGATGAATGGAAGCTGTGGAACTGGTGAGGAGAGAGCATCAGTTCTGAAACGTGAGTGCAGTCGGGAGCAGGGCACTGTAAACAATGGAGCCTTGGGATAATTGCCTGTTACGCCTTGAATGCTAGATGGAGGCCCATCAAATAGGTGTCCCCTGTGAGGCTTTTGTGTTTTGGTATGTTTTTGAAAGCACTTGCTCTGCTGTTCACACAAAAACGCTTCACATCTACACTGAGTATTAAAATGCTGATGTTTGATTACCATCGATGGGGAGAGACGTCCATCATACGCGTCCATGTGATGTCATGTCCCCGAGAGGAAATGTGGATCTCATCTATAATTGCATATGTTAGGTTGAAAGAAGCAAAAAGACAAATGCATTGTCCAGTTTGACAATAGGGTTGATTTAATTAGCTCACAACACTAGAATCTCAGCAGTACAAATTAGGTAAAAAGCAGTGGGCACCGAAGATCTTTGTCTATCCAAGCTCCAGTTCCTCATAACGAGGTAATTAAAACCTATGGATGACTTTTGTTGTCTTTTGTGGAATCCCCACCTTCTAAAGGAATTGGGCGTAAGGTTGCAGCAGCCACGGCATGGCGGAGTAGCTATTGCCCTTCACCCAGGATGCTACGATGCTGCCATTAGGACCGTGAGCAATAGCAGCAGTCAGAGACCATTACCCCAACCATCCACACTCATAAAGAGTGCCTCCAGACCGAGAGGCGATGGGAGGCCACTGCTGTGTGCTTAACTCCTCCTTTGGTTTTTCATTCTTCTGCACTCGCCGGGCTCTAAATCATCCTATGACGAGTGGGCCGCAGTATTTCTGTGGGAGATCACTAGAGGGATGGGACCAGAATATTGTATAGAAGCGGCCAGGCAATTCCCGTGACAGCAGTGGCACTGCATTAGTCAGTAAATCTCCCCTGAGATGCTTCTTTTTCCCATTACTATAACTTGAGGACATATGCATAGAGCACATAATCACCATGCAAACGAGTGCAACACAAAATGTGTAGTGAGTCAATATGATTGACTGAGAACATTTTGATGAGATGTTGCCTTCAATGTGTCTGAAATCACCGCCCTGTACAGTCCAGCAGTATACGACAGGGTGTGACAGTATTCATTACTTTGATGCTTGGAGTCCAAAGTTCAGTTGGAAGAAACTTGGAGATGCAATCTGAGAGCTGTACCAGTGACAGACAGCGACCACAAAATATTTTTTTCCAAAAAAGACATTTACATTTTGGCTGAGGTTGCCTTATACCTCTAGGGTTATGGTTTAAAATCTACAGAACAATGTTTAACATAGTGGTGTGTACAGGTTCCACAGTACTATAAATGGTACCTTACGGTTCTAATTAACTTAGTTAATGTTGCCTAAAAAAGTCTAGGCTTGAGTATGATGAAAAGGTACGAAGACGTTTGGAAATTGGCAAAATTACTTTCAGTATTAGCAAGATTGTTTCTATTTCTTTGTGTTAATAGCATCTCTTCAGGAGACTAAGTACAAGGCTAACCATGATGACTGAAAAGAGTAAACGTTCCCTGCAGTTAGAGTTGGTAAACGAAGCAGATGGACAGATACACACGAGATGTTCTTTTTGTTTGTGTTCTAGCTGACTGCTTATGTGATTATACATAATTTTTTTTATAAGTTGGCTACTCAGCCCACAGTATGTATGTATGTACAGACAGAGAGACAGAGACAGACCTAAGGTTAACATCAGTCAGGTGCATATGTAGATTTTTTTGTTCTGATCTGACCCGCTGCAAACTCCTCGAGCAGACATTTTTGATATATCAGTCGCTGACGAAATACAGACATTGTAAGTTGACATTGGGTCAGAATGCTAATTGAAGTTCTGCTTTTTCAAGTGTCAGGGTGTCACTGCAGATAAAGCACAAACTGTGGCATTTTCATCTTAACATCTGGTTCATCTTCAGACTTTCTGGAAAACAAATTTTGTCTTGCTATATGCTTTTGTATAAAAAAACGTGGAATCACTGCAAGTGCTGTGTCATTAGGTTTTGATTCCCCGGGATCCTATTAGAGCAGTTTTTCTTAAAATAGTAACATTTAATGGTCCTTTCACGATCACCATAGGTCAACTAAACAGTGTGCCTCTAAACCATTTCTAATGTCTACATAGTAATTTGAATATAATGAATGCACTCATAATGGAGTCATATATTCAGCTCATAATATCAGTACTGAAGGATCCACAGTTGATATGTTTTATAGGAGGCACTTAGGAATTCTCAGGTCCATTTATCTAGAATTCATTTAGCAAGATGTTATATTGATGCAATTAATCAGAACAAGCAATTATTTTCTAATAAGGCAGTCACACTTAGGACATTTTTTTGTACTTAATCAGGGTTTAAGTTATGTAAGACCAAACTGGTTTGCAAAAAGAAAGGCAGGAGAAACTAAAAGTCATGAAATTCATATTCAGTTTTATGACTTTCTGATAGAGCAGATGTTATTTATTTAGGTGTCTTTCAGTCCACCCGTTAAATTGCTCATCCATTAAAATGCAGCTACACTCAATTCTCCAAGCCATTGACAAACCTATAATTATAGTGCACCTAGGAGCCAGCATTTATTTAAGAGCCTGTTGTGTTGTTTTACTGCATCCAGAAGAGGTTACATAGATATAACGTACATGCTTGTGGAAGGTTTAGAGTATTGGTAAAACAACTTCAAAGATAAGTAGTAATTAAGATATAAATTCACAAACAAACAAACGAGAGATAATCAAATGAAAACAAAAATGCTATTGCCTCATTTTAGTAATTACAGTATTAACAGAGAACTGTGGTACAGTCATGACATCTCAATGGTATGTAATGGGCTTCTCAAAATTGCATGCATGTGCACAGTTGGACTAGTGCCCTTCCAGGATGTTCGCTACCTTGTATATTAAGATTGAACTTAAAAAGAAGAACAGTATGAACACTGTTTCCCTCATTGTCAAACATCACTATGAGTGACACACATTTCTCAGTGTGTGAGGCAGTATAGATTGGAATAACTAACGCCATCTTGCTCCCATTCTTTACGCTAAAGTTACAAGTCAGTAATATCTCTACCGTACCTTGCAGAAGGTAGTATATAGAGACCAGCACAAACTGTCTTTAACTATGGTTCTATACCCAGTTCTAAATGGTGAATTTTGGGGTCAATACAATTATTATCTATACCAATTCCACACACGTGCCCATGACCATGTTCAAACAAGCAAAATAAAAGATAGGATGTTTGTTTATGTATTTAGAAGATGATTTTATTCAAAGTGACATACAATTGAGAGAACTTTGCTCCAGGGCCCAGTGGTCCTGACCAAAGGATTTAACTAACAACCTGAGTGCCAACCTGCAGAGC